GAGAGAGAGAGAGAGTAATCACCTTATCCTTTCCATCCATTATGGCACAAGTCCGTCTCGGCATATTCTTCTCTATTGGTTTCAGATGCTACAATCCTCAGAACTTGTCTATGTGTGCACATATTTAATTCTCAGTGGGTCCACATTCTGTGGCTTTAAACCCATTGGCCTCATTGACAGGGGACAACTCGAGTGAAACTGGGCAGTGATCGCTACCGTAGAACCCTGGAAGCAATTTAACTGCTTATATTTGTGGTTTTATGCACAACAATTGCACCACCATTTTAAAAAGGAGACTATCCCACAGTCATTCAAAGTATGGCACATGGTAGTCCGAGGTGACATCCACCATCTGTTCCCACCAAAAAATTGGCCAAGACTAACTGCCATGGGGCCCACATGAGCATTCACTCAAGTAAAGTTAATATCTATATCGTCCATCAGTGAGGGCAGATGATAGATGTCGCTTGGAGAGTTGGAGTACCATATAGCATACTATAATCTGCATGGACAGTACAGATATTTTGATTACATCAAACAAAACTGGTCAAGACCATCCAGAGGGTTGTAGGCATTAGTTTAAGGGTAGTGATTTGCAAATGCATGAGAAAAACCTTTGCATGGATGCTTCAAATTTTAGAAGGTATTTGAGCTCCCAAAATATTTCAAGAACCCCAACAGTATGTTAAGAAACTAATCTGCATTATAACAGAGTAGATAAGTGAAATTCTTGTGAGATACCTTCCATTTCAATCCCTTTCCCATGAATTTCACATGCAACAAGCCTGTCTTTGAGTTTCTCAGAGACTAGAAAGTAGTCTATCCTCATCCTCTTCCCCCTGTATCTGCAAAATGATAGCAAACAGAAAATTTGAGTCAGTTCAGCTAATTCATGGTTTATGGATTTAGGAAACTCCTCTCTTTTGTCTTTTTCAGTGATTTTTCAGAGAGAGGACATTTGAAGAGTTTTCCCATGGTTATGATTCACATGTGTAGCTTTTGAGTCAATCCTTGGAGAAACTGTGCTCTTCCACTTCCACTAATTTGTCAGTTTCAACTAGGGGCTATGTTACGAATCATGTAGCCTAGTGGTCAGAGAACTATGTCTCTCACAGTGGATTGCAGTCCAATCCCACACTTCCCAAAAGAAAAACCAGTTGCAAGGTTCAGAAGCAAAAAACAAAAAATAACAGCGTTATGAAAATAAAATTTTAAAATTTTAAAACTCAAAAAGGAGTATATCAGCCTACTTGCCAATGGGGTTCCCTGACCAAGAGAAACCCCCCTCAAGATCTTGTTCTTTGTGAAGGAACCTGTAAGCATCGAGCAGTTTTCCCCTGCAAATGAATAATTGCGTAGCACAAGTATCATCTATGACAATCATACATATTTCTGTACACACGCAAAATGCAAGTTCACCAACAAATAGGAAAATTATTCTTTAGTATATTTGCAGATACTAGTCAATAATGGCAAAGACCCTTTGTCAACAAATAAAGATTCCATTCATTTCTGGAAAGAAATGGAAAGACTACGACTCATCCTCAATAATTTCAACTTTATGAGATCATGAATCTCCTAATAAAGTGGGTTGGGCTAACTGAATGAGGCTTTGGACCACTTGAACAGATCGGTAAAACAAATCTGAACTTTTCTGTTAAAATGTTTTTCAGTTTTCAAAAGATACATCATGCAGTAATGAACATAATGACAGGAAATAACTTCATAAGTACAAATCACCTACTCCGACAGTATAGTAGAGAACCGTTGCCTTTCAGCAATGGTAAATCCAGGCTGTCCGCAATCCTGCATAAGCCATGTGAGAGTTGGTTGTTATCAAACACATTGAGGAGGAAATCAGTATATGGATGATTCAATCCACACGAGCATCTTACTATAAAGGAAATACAGGAAGATGCACAAAATATTCACCAAGGCACATGTTTCTTCCAGTGAGAAAAGCCCATTACAAAAAGAAAATAGAAGACCTTACTATTAATCCAAGGCAGCTTATATTGTTCATGAGTCTTTATGTCTACTTTGGTGCATAAAGTCATCAGAAATTAGACAGAACAAATAATTTCTATAGTCTATACAACTGCTCATTGTCAATGCAATTAAAAGAAACTTCATATTACATGAGAGTATGATGTGAGAATAGAACTTCCGGTTGTGCTACTTGTATGGAGACCAACCATGAGCTCAACAAAAGGGCAATGAGATAGCAATCATGGAACTATAATAACATAACGATGAAAATACAACACAATAACCAATTTGAAAAGGCAAACTATTTTTTATAAATCTAAAAAAAATACCTTCGGGGGATAGACAACATGAAATGTACTCAAGTTACCTTGTGATAAATGTTTCCAGGTACATATTTCTCAAACATAAACTTGAGAAGTGTGAAGTTGCAATAGGCATAAATATCATTGCCAAGATATTCAACAATTCTCTCCAACGTTAATGATTTGATTAGTCAAGTTTGGATTGCAGGGATAAGTACTGCTTCCCATAACATAAAATCCCATTTGAAACTAGACTTATCGTATAATCAACCCTAATTATGTCCCATAAATGAGAAAATAAAATGACAATTTATTTTTCGCAGTATCCAGTAATCCCTCTAAGCAGACTAAGAACATTGGTAAGACCAGTATTCAAACCTACAACCTCAAAACCGAAAGGAACTTACCCAAATATTCAACAATCCTTTGAAAAACGACAAAAAACAAAAAACTAATTCTTTCATGAATTTATAAACAAAAAAAACATTCAAATAGATCTGAAACCATCATTTTTGCTTTTCTTTTCATGATATGCTAAAATGCTATGGTACATATACACTTTCCAGAGCAGGGGTTAAACAATTATATACAAGCAAAGTTAATAGGTACCGTGCATAGGCTTGCGAGTAAAGTTTTAAAGAATATAGTAGAAGCGGTTCTCTTATAGTTGCTTGAGAGGAAATATGTGAATGAAGTAGTCATTTCCTTTAATGCAAAATAATCAAACGTGCATTACCTTGCTCATATCTAATTATATATCATCCTTAAACCCTTCACTAGTCATCACAAGGTTGTGAATGCAACAAAACTGAATTACCCAGAACATGTGGTTGATGTGAAAGAAAAAATTTCTTACGAATACCTCTTTATTTGGCGGTACATAACCATTGAGCTTGGCATTGCTGAAATATTCTGGATGGCTCACATCGATGTCTTGATGGCTGCAAATATTAAGCATATCAACAATATATGATTTTATATGTTAAAGAAAAGAAAAAGTATACAAAAAGACCATTTACCTTTTATAAAAGGTGGTCACAATTAATCTTGACCATTGGATATGAAATTGGGTGGCTGCATTTATTTCATCGACCAAGTTCAAAGTTCAAAAGAAATTTTCTCAATCTTTGTGACACACCCAAGCAATCAGATTTCACATCGGATGGTTGTAAGTATTAGAAATAAATAGTTTCATGGTATACAATCCCTAAAGAATGCAACAGCCCAATCTTTCATTGAATGGTTGTAAGTATTAGAGATAAATAGTTTCATTGTATACAATCTTTTCATGAATGCAACAGCCCAATATATAAATCTTTCAAATAAGTTGCACATTGAAAACCAAAGGGGATTTCTAAGAACTCAATTGCCGATGGACAGTTCTAAAAAACATGAAGTTTTGCATTTCCAAAGCAAGACTGAACAAAAAAGGGTAGATAGCTTTATTTGGTTTTATGGAAAAAGTTCAAGGGCTTGGGCCCTCAACCTCTCTCATACAAATTGTGTCTTACAATTGAGACCAAAGTAAGATTGAACACTAACAGCTTAAAACTTCAAAATGGGCTTATGATCCCTCTAACACAAGCTTTGACCATAGAGTATCAACTCTAAAAAAGATTTTTAGATTTAAAAGCAAGAAAAAAAAATCATACCCTGACTAAGACACCATTTTGATAGGTGTAAGAAGATAGATCATTGACTACTTTACCCATTCCCAGCACACCCCTCATCCTCCAAAGTATACAACTCATAACTCCAACATGGAGCCTTGTCCGGGAGAAATTTTGAAAATTTTGGCACCTCGATGAATGGTTATCTCCATTTGGATCATGTGCATATGGCTTCACTGAGATTCTGGAATTTTGTGCCTGAAGCATTTTGTGCAAAGACTACAAAGACTATCCTTAACATGCATCAACCTTTTCTCCATTCAAGGACAATACAAATATGAGGGTCACAAAATGACCATACATGCATTAAATTTCTAACTATATCACATAATATAGTGATAGCTCCCATGGACAAGTTCAGCAGGTTAACTCCAAGAGAATTGAAAGTTATTACTTAGTGAAATCCCAGTGGAAGAGGAGCAAATCTAGTCGCAGAAGGCAACTATATTGGCAAGTTTGTGTACCAATATTCCCAGAATAGAGGCATAGATCGAGTTACTAAAACCAGATTGGAAAGACACTAATATAAAAAGTCGTAAGCACGCATACTGGTAGGATTCTACTCACAAAGACTAAGCATGAGAAGTCCAGCAAAATACCTATCTCAAGGAACCCAGTTATTGTACAAGATATTAACACAAAAAAAGAAGAAAAAGTCAATGGAAAACAGGATACTAGGAAATATATATCAAAATGCCAAATACAGGGCTATTACTAGAAATTTATTTGTCAGTCAATTACTGAAGATCCAGTATCTTGCATCATTAACACAAGCTGCTTGAATGAGTCCAGAGTGCACATACTGATTTATTGTGCAAGGAATCTCAGTGCGCAAAAGATATATGCCATCTTAACCAATTAAACAAACAAACAGGAAACGCATTTGAAATGATAAGAATCTCAGTACAGAAAATGCACCCCGACAAGATAGCAAAATAATAGAGACTTTCCTTTTAATATGAATGAGGTACTCCAAAATGGTCACGGCCACATCACATTTCCATGCTTAGCCAAATAAACGGAAATAAAGTACCTCACATTTAGATCCCCACACCAAATCAATGGCTTTTCTGAAGACTGACAACCAAACTCAAGCATTCTTTTATCCCATTTACGTCTGCGTTTGAAAGAGGAATCATCATCTTTCCAGCCATTGTTCGGAACGTATGTATTCAGAAAGCAAAAAGAGTCAAACTCAACCAATATAACACGGCCATCTGGTTCATGCTTTGAACCTGCATACAAAAAAAGAAAAAGTTGAAATAAAATTGGCGGCCATGCTTTTGAATCACAAGCTTTTTAATGTCATTGTCATAGTTAAAACCATGACGCAAAATCAAATTTCAAATCACAATTGCAAGATCACAATTGAAAGATAAACGTATTGAAGCCATGGTTCTCATATAACATGAAATGGACTAAGCAGTATAAAGTAGAAGAAACCAGAGAAGCAGGAAAACATCCAAGGGCCAGCTCTAAGGCAGGCCCTCACACCGAATAATTTGAAAGTCATTGATGCTGATATAGGGCAGTTTGAAAAAGGAAGCTAGATTCTATTGAATACATTCTGAGAGGAATGAAGAAGCACGAAGCAGGAGATCTGACCCCTAGTGCTAGTTGTTGTTCTAATCAATAGTTGAGAGGTTATTATTTTGGCATTTGTAAATACTTCAGTGTTTTGTTCTTTGGATCTTCAATAAAATATAACCATGCAACAGTAACCATGCCTAGTCGAACAACGGATCTAGAGAACATATACAATAGAGATAGAAAAGTGCATGACACAATAGAAGCATGAAAAACACATAAGAAGGACGTGTGAGTCATTGATTATCTCAAGTGGAAGCATGAGCAGGATGAAATAAAAAAGAAACCAGGCAAACATCCTTTCATTTTGGAAGTACATGGAAGTTCACATGTGCCCAAGGATAAATGCAAAAGTCATATTCGTGTGCATAGATTCATGCTAGGATGATCACATTGGCAATCAAATGAAAAATCTAAGGTTCAAGCTAATTTGTTGAAATTAGCATGACCACTCAAACTTTTTGATATATATATATATATATATATATATATATATATATACGTA